GAAATTGCAATTATAGAATTAAAAGATTTTCCTTCCTAATACTTCTTATCTCTGTAAAGCTCTATCTTTATAAAATTTCATGTACTGAAGAAGCACTCCTATCTGTTGCAGAAACTAAGCCCTTCCACAAAGAATGTTGTGTCCCAAAGAATTCTAGCTGCAACAACAAACCCATCAATCAAGAGTTTTTCCCTGTTTATGAAAATTACCACTTTAAGTTACAGGATTAAAGAATCGCTGAAAAATTAGATCTCTAACTATTTAAGGTTTCAAAAGATCAGAATACTGGGATATGTTCAGAATTGGGCAGGGGACACACGCAAGGCAGGAAGAGCTGCCGACAGTCTTACTGGCCTGCCCAACTACACAGACCTGCAGCTTTCACGTGGCCCCCGGCTGTAGGACCTGGAGCTTTTATGTGGCCCTAAAAAGTGGAACTTATCAATTGCACCTCCCACTGCAGGCATTCAGCAATCACTTGTCCCCAGTAATCTACCACCTAGAAAGGCAATACAGACAAACTTTGCAAGAGAACTATGTCTTCCTTAGAGCGCTGTTTCACCTTTTTGCTTATTCCACAGAAACTGGTTTATAGTTATCTTTGTAAGAAATATGAACCCAAATACAGATACTGGAATTACATAGTCTGAAGAAAATAAAAAAACAAGGATGAACACGGGTAATTCTAGATCCAGGAAAGAAACCATTTCTTTTGATCATCTGAAGACAGGGAAAGATTTTTTGTATAACAGTTACCAGGGTATCTAGGAACTATGCATTCCATTTATGAGGAACGGAAACAGCCTGAAATCTATTTCAAGTGAAGCATCTCTTCACAGAATGTACTGTCAATACTTCCCATTCATTCCATCTTCCCAAGAATATTTAAAGGAATTCCAAGCTCCTGTGTTGAACTTGAACTACTTTTAGTGCTAAAGCCTTATTTTAAGATTTATGATCATAGAAGTTAATTTCTGAAACAAACAAACAAAACCAACCCACCCATTCACCCCCACTAAACCCCAGACAAAAGCCCTGCAGGAGGCTCTGAGCCCAAAGAAAACTAAGACAGGAGTTCATCGGAGTTGTCAAAGCCACCGCCAGGGAACAGGTTAGACGAGACTGACACTACCACAGATCCACATGGCTTGGAGCGAGATAAAGGTAGAGAAGACAGTAAATCAAACATTTGCAAGCATCCAACGCAATATTTTTTCCTTTATATTTCCACGCAAAACCCTGGAAGGTATCATCTTTACATTTCCTAAAGTCACACATGGAATTATAAACAGCTGAGGCAGAAGCTACTCCATCCTTAACACCAATGCCAAATAAGCATACATTATAGATATTCTTTAAGTCTGATGATCAGTGAAATGAAAGAGCCTTACATTTATCAAGGAAGAAAACTAAGAGTCAACAAGGAAGGATATATAGAAAAGAAAGATTTGCCACGGATGCTGCATTTCAAAAAGCAAATGTATATGACACTACTACTATTCTTGAAAATGCTCTGTGATCAGGACCTCTCCTGCATCCAATGCAGTCAGCTACAGAATAAACCCTTTTCAAGAATCTGAAATGGAAGTGGTTGCTCATTTATTTTTATGTGTCATACTTTTCTAAAGTGATCCAGGTAAGAACCACTTTCACTGGTAACCTCCCTGACTTTATACACAGCCATTCTGAGATACAGAGGAGTGCCAACACTCATGTCAATGGCATATTAACTTTGAAACCTGGTAATTGCTCAAATGTCAACATTAGATGGGATTTTCAAAGGTGCTTAGGCAACTAAGCAATCTTATGATTCCAAAATGCCCCACTGAAAACCCAAGGCACTGTCAACCGCTTTACCGCTGACCACCTTAACAGAAACAACCAACGAATGTAATTCCAGATTTCTTCTCACTAAGCCAAACCTACTCTAAACTCTACCTCACCTTTCTTTTAACTTAAATATTGATATAGTTAACACTCTTTATGTATTTATGCCAGGAATACTTTTGTGAGGTAGGGAAGTGCTGTTATTTCCATTTTACACGTCACATCAGTCCAGGCGGAGCAGGACACAGGAGCTGTATGCTAGCCTTCAATAACGTAACAATACAATCATAGCTTGTGAATTAAAAATATCTGCAACTTGCCCAGGACTTAAAAGCGTGAGTTCAGCATATGTTCTTTTTTAATAGCAAAATAAGCACTGATTGTATTATTCACATCGAGAAAGGATGCTCCATTTTTTAATTTAAATGAAGCAATTATAGTTTACGGCCTGCCACACCACAACACGCAGACTCCAGGAAGCTTGCTTCAGAACTGCTGCTTGTTTGAACATTATGCGAAGCCTCACAAATACCCATTCAGAAAACCACGTACACATGAGGAAGACCCCCCAGAAACAAGGTAATTGAGGGGTACATACCGAACACTACTTTCCTTACACCAAAGGAACACCAAGTTTTTGTAGCATAATAAATGTAAGATGTCCACAAGTACAACACAGTTTAACTGTTAGAGGAGTACTATGTTACACGGCATATATACACCAGTAAGAAAAGTCCTATCCAAACAAATTCTGCTACCTTAATCAAAAAGGTACCTTTTTGTCATACTAAAAATGCCCAGCTTTCAAGACATGTTAATTCTAGAGAGGAAGAGTTCCTTTTTACCTTACCTTCAATTATTTTTGCCTCAAACAGTTAACGCATATACATCTTATCTGGAAACTACTATCAAAGCAATCCTGTACAAATCTCTAATTTATTAATACAGCAGGCAAAATTGAAAAGCATTTAACAAGTGACTCTCCTTACCTTCAGCACAGCAATGAATGGTACAAAATTAGCTCTCTGAAGACCATTTTTATAGAGATCTGAAAGAAAGGAAATCAGTACCATTTTGCTACTTAGTCTTAATAACAATGTCAGCTTGTCTTTTAGCCTGGCAAATAAAACTCGGTGTTGCTAGAGAGTGAAAGAACAAAAGGCAGAAAAGGAGAGCTGAAATTGATTTCTCTTCTTTTGCTGTATGAAAATTCAATGCATTCTTAAGGAAGAAAGGAACTTCCTGAGAAAGTCTGAAAAAGGCAGGGAGTGAAAGATGACTTAAATCTCTAACAACAAATAACTGATTTTAGCAGACGAAATAAGACCAGCATCTGTTTTAAAGTAAGGATATACAAAAGGATTTGTAATGCTGGGTTTACATTGGTATGATTATAAGGCCAAAACTATGCAACTGCTAAGTCCCAAGTATTTGGCAGAGGGGAAAAACCCAATGTAAACTAAAAATACGCTATTTGAGTTTACAAAGTTAGCATCTTTCTTATTCAGTGTACTGTGGTACACTTTATCTTCTAGCAGTTCTACCAGGTACACTCCCTTTTCCGAAGACAGAAAAAGAAAAAAAAAAAAAAAAAAAAAATTAAATGAAGTTGCTAAAAATACAACTGAATTAAAAAAAAATTAGAATGTTATGTAACAAAATGCAAATCTGCACTCAAAGAAAAGACAGATTATAAAAACAAACTGCAAAGCAGCATTTTATATCTTATTTATCCCTATTTTATACAGCATACAGTTCTCTTCTCTGGAAACATCCAACTGCCCAACACGTTCATTGAAAATGTTATCACTTAAACTGTACGATGGGCTGCTCTTTTTCATTAATATTAGGAAACCTTATAAAAAGCCAGTACAGCACCTATGACCGACAGGAGGAATAAATAAGAGAATACAGACACCTGGCGGAGATGTCACCAAAATTCCCCTTGAAGACCATGCCAGGTTATTAGTACCACCTATATTCCCCATAATGCCTGAAGGCTACAACTAGGCTAAAGCGTTTATGCTCTACCAACACCTCATGATGGACAGAAGATACAGTATGCATGAGAAACCAACAGGACACCTACAAAATGGTTTTCACAAAACTGGATAGGTACACAGAAACATTTAGGAAAATTATCAGTGAAGGTTATTCTGCACCTAATTACTAACAAAGTTCCATGAAGCCATGTATCATTCTCATTCATAACTCTGCAAATCACGATAGCTATACATTTGTTAAAACAGCAACCAATTGCACATTTACTTGCAAAAATTAGTGAACACGTAACAGCTACTTCTGCTAGTTCTTCCAGCTAATAAGGCTGTGAGTTTTGAACTCACATGAGCCATGAACCAATGGGAAATTATTTCCCCCTCTAGTAAAAACATTTGAATGTTTTCTTCTCTTTTTTTTTTTTAAGATAAAGTGCATTGTAAATCTTTAGTGATTCTCTTTTACTCAATTAATTTGGGTAGAAAAATTAACTGGTAGTTACGGTTAATACTGTAACTCTTCAGTATTTTTTGCAAACATTTGAAATTAATCAATCTAAAGTGTCATAAAAGTTGCGTAGAAATTATACATTATGCTAACTGCTAATGCTACACTGTAACAAACACTTTTCTCCTCTACAAAAAATTACAATTACTGCTTGGTTAAAACCCATACAGATTTGGGGACTTTGTATAAGGATCTACCTAAGCTAGTCACTCTCTATCTAAAAACAGTTAGAAATGGAAACAACTCTCCACCTAAGTAATTCCCAATAAGTGACCTCACACCAAGCTGTGAGAATGGCATCTTGATAAGGGGTTCTCCTTTGAGCTCGTGGATCAAGTCTGCAAGTTTCTGAGTTAGAAACTAGGAAGGAATGTACTCTTATTTCCCCTCTCTTCTGCAGAATATGATCTTCTCCTACCCTGGAATACATCCAAAACGCAGGCAGTATTTCACCCCTCCCCAACTCTCCTGTACCCAAATACCTTCCCACTGGTTTAGACAGAGTAGAGAAGATCAGAAAACACAGAAGGATTTGGGGAGAGGTGGGGGGAGGAACACCTTGAGTTTGAGAGAAGAGAGGAGTAAGACTTAGTGAAAAACCTTTCTTCCTTAAGAACACAAAACCACAGGGGACAAATTGGAATATCTCAGATTCCTGAAGACTAGGAGAGTTTATTAGTATTAAATACTATATGATTTTAATACGATTGTTTTGTAGGATACTGAGATTCATTGTACTTGGATAATACTAGTCGCATGTTTGTTTTTACCTTCTGGCGGCCTGTTAGATGTTGCCACAACGACAACCCCATTTTGGAACAGATTTTCAAAAAGCTGCTTCAGAATCATGGCATCAGCAATGTCAGTGACCTGTAGAAGACAACACATTTGTTTTATCTTGCTTTCAGCTTCTGCCGCAATAGATCTGCAAGTGGCTTTGTAGCTAGGAAAAATGCTTGTTAGTGAAAGCCATGGAGAAAGATTCTAATTATTGCTTGGTGAGAAAAAAATAAAAGGGATAATTAATAAGCAGTGAATGTACCACTGTCTGTCAAAACTTGCCCACTCTTTATTGCGGAACTCCACCATTTCTTTACCAATTGCTAAATGATTCCATGTTAACTTCTATTATAAAACTACAGGTGGAAGACACAGAAAACAGACCTAAACATTTAAGAGGCCTAATTAATGAGAAACAACATGAAAAAAACAGAAGACAGAAAGAAAATACACGCCGGCTGTTTTACATTTCTATTACCTTTGAGGCAAAGGTTTGCAGAGGTGAATTTAAATGGTCATTGGACTTCAGAAATAAAGACAAGTAGCCAACTATACATAATCAGCTGCTGTTGAAAATAGAATGATATGACATAGATACTATTGTGTGATTGTTGCAAAAAACAATTCAACAGATGGCCCATCACAAAAATAAGCAATTTCATTGTTCTTTTTAAGTGCCTTCTATTACTGTCCATGAATAATCAAAAGGCACAGCAGTCACTTCCAGCACAGTCAGCCTCTTCTAACCTTCAGGCACAAAACACGAATGAAAAACAAAAATGGGTGGGACAAGTGATACTGGGGGAAAAAAAACACAAGACTAAAAAATAAGCCATAAAGTAAAATAAATATCTAAGTGTAGCTTAGCGAACTTGCTTTACAGTACCAAGAAATAAAAGGAAACAGAAAACATTCTGTACAAATGAAAAAAAGGTAACAAATTTTTCTGAAAAAAGCCCATTGTTACAACAGCAATTTACATTTTACAGGGGTTCACCAGGTGAGATCAGCAATCCTAATAAGTAAACCATCTTTATTATCGTTACACTTGTTTCTCCTGCATTCCCTTCGATTATTATATAGACACTTGTTGCACTTTGACTTACCAAAACAGACCCCAGTTCTGAGGAAATAGAAAAGTGGTGGCATGCTGAGAGTTATACACACTCACTACACAACAGCTTGGCAGATTGCTGTGCTTTCACCAGTTTGGATGTGTATGTTGTGATAGTAATACATCTACAGAAAGACTTTAACCAGTATAATTTTTTTCCCTACTCCACCACAACCCCACCCCCCATCATCCCCCCATTTCTAAATTAGCTTTCTGGGCAGCAAAAAAATTTAATTCTGAACTAGAGACGGTAAAAGACGTAGGTTACATTTCTGACAGCTAGTTTGGAAGCAATAATATTCATAAGGAACCATATGTAAACACCGGTTTCCTTCTTCCAAAGATTTCTTCCAATTAGTTCTACGGAATGCATTAATGTGGAAATTTTTTTCCTTTTTCAAAAGCAAACTTTTACACAATCAGTAACACACCCTCAGATTTGCACATCCCTGATCACTAAGATCCGATATTCCAAAAAGCATGTAGTAATTCACTACTGTACTATATGTCTAATATATCTGCTTATGTACCCACCTATCGATAGTTTATTTCTTCTGAATACTAAAATTTAGGAACTTTCCCTGTTCCTAAAAACTAAAACACACAAGGAATCAGTATATGTGTGCATTTTAGGGGTAACTGAATTTCTTGTATCACAAAGCAAACCTAATAGCCAAGTTTTAAAAATGTATTATATAAATCATTTTGTTACAAACTTCTTTGTTTAAAAATACTATAAGGCATGCTACCTTTAGAAAACAGGGAGGAAAAGAATATTAATGCTCACATAAAAGAAAACAATTAATAACATTCTCTTATTAATGAGAACTGTTATTTGATGCGGAATTCTGATGTTTTCAACTCCATTACAAAAAAAATAACTCTCGAAAGTTCTGTCAGAAAGGAAGAGCCATTTTGAGAACTGGGATGCAAATATGAGCTCTTTTTATCTAATACAGCTTGGGAAAGACAGAAAATTTCTACAAGGTAAAGCAGGTAGAAGACAGTAACTAAAGCATTGTCATTTCTCATGTTTTTTACTGTATCCAGCATTCGTTGCAACACAGAACAAAAGCAAAGGCTACAAATTACCAATAAGGAGAGCCTGATAATGGAGAGAATGGAGAAATTTCATTAGCATTTAAGAGAAAAGATTTTTATGACCTAGTGCTGCTTTCAATTATGACTCACGTAAAAAAAGAAAAAAGAAGAAAAAAAAACCACTAGACTAATAGTTAATTTACATGTTAAGTGCCTGAGACTCAGTCATCCACTGATTGGTACAGTTCCATGTAATGAATGACAAACATAAGCATGTATTATCAGTAATTAGTATTAGCACAAAAATAAGAGCCTAATTTTTATTAGAAGCTTTTAATAGCATGCAGGTTAGTAAAAACTCCCTAAATTGTAGTTTGTTTTATGTCCAGGTGGTACCAATGGTATATATACAGACTAACACTGTACGATCATCCAGCTTACCAAGAAGTAGGGATTCTGTTTTCATTATCAGCACTAACAAACATAGGTTACAGTCACACGCCAAAATTAGACCTTCTAATTACCTGTGTATAGTTATTTGATCGCTAAACAATAACTAGTGTCTTTTTATTGGCCAACCTCTGTGTTCTGAAACATCAAAATTATAATTACAAATGGCTTAATTCTAGGGTTTTCCTTCAACATGAGGACACATTTTTAGAATGGCTTAAGACTTTTGTGATTTAAAAAAAAAAGACTTTAATATTTACAGTAAACTGTATGACAAAGATCAGTAAGAAGTAGCAATGCTTTACTAACGCAACAACCTGTGGCTCAGGCAAATGCTGACCAAAAACCTGCTTCAGAATGGACAAACGCAGAAGCCTAGTACCATCACTAAAGTCCTAGCTATCACACAGTATTTGCAAAAAGAAACGTTTAAGACATAGTAATTATTTTTTTTTAATACGACAATATTTTGGAACACACAAAACTACTTTTAAAAGTACTGAAATATTTTTCTACATCAATTAGTCAACTCTCCACTTGTTTGACAGTTCTCTAGGCTTTGCAAGAAGATTCACTTCAGAGTACTTCTGTTTTGCTTTAGCTCACTGTCAAAGAGGAATGTGCAACCTCAGCAATGCTTTTGTCTTTTAAAATTCTGCATTTAGTTTCCTCTGAAATATGAACATTAACAATACTTTTTGCTGTCCCTGTTACAAGATCACTCATCTGTGTGTCTGATCTTAAGAGAAATAAATAAATAAATAAATAATTTCAGCTTATTCTCCTTTTTTTCCAACAGGTATTTGAAAGCAACCTGAAGCGTTTCAAGCAAATCTCAACAGTTTTCTGATGCTTCCTCCACACCCAAGTATTTTGCTAAAGCAGTATAGACCCAACTTGGCCTTTCATCTATCAAAACAGCAGCTTTGCCTGCAAGTCAGAGCAGTATATGTTCTGAGTCTCCAGCTCTTTCCAGTTTCATTTTAATCCAGAAATTCTTTAAATATGAGTAAATCAGACTGTAGTGAAATCTAGCCATTGTCTCCACTGGGGGAATGAGCTGCAAACATCCTGAATTAGATATGGCTCCTTATTACCAATGTTAATTGTGTCACCATGTGAGCTGCTCTTCCAGCCACTGCACTGCTTTATGACTATTTAAGCAGAAGGTTTCTTATCCCAAATTCAGTGCATTCTGCAAAATTTCAGAAAGCTGGTACTCCTCTTCAGTAGGCAAAGTCTGCGTAGCGTTCAATGCTACAGAAAATCAGTCAAGAAATCCAGCTGTTCAGAAATCTGTGAATTTAGAACATTATTACACCCAGAACAAGTACATTTTTAAAATTCACGTAAGAATGCAAAGTCTTAGATACACATTTTAAAGTATAGTTCTTGTATTACTTTCCCAACTGTGACTCACCAACAAAACCAGGTGATTTTTACAACTGAAGTGATTGATGTACCTCAAGCAAGTCAGCAGGGGGAGCAGGCAATCAATTTGGAAACAAAAAATACCAGAGTCTCTCCCCTTAAAATGTGGAAACATGACAGTCTGGAAACACAGCAACACCAGGATATGAAAGCAGTGGGCATTTATACAGAAAAGCAGGTTTTTACACTAATACATGGTACAGTAAAGATGCCTCTTTCTACCATTTGAGTATTTGATGTCATGACAGTTAACAGTCCTCCCTGCCCTCTCCAAACCTTCCCATTTCTTCATAGTGTAAAAACAACCGTCTCTGTATTTAGATTTTATACTGCAAATTTTGGAAGCCCAGCATTCATATTCACTAGATAAAGCACAATTCAAATGATCAAACAGCAGCAATTGCAATGACCCCACACTTTCTGAAACCATAGATCAAAGGACTACCCCTTGTCAAAAAATGCAAGAGTAACTTAAAACAAGAACACCTACTACTTTACAGCTACAAAAATCCCCTTCATGGGAGCTGATCATAAACCGGTTATTTTCTCGGGTGCGCAGGCTTGTAAAATAATAGCTAGGAGATATAAATTACTCTATCCATTTCAGTAATGTATTAATTTAAGAGCATAACACAATTTGCAGTTAATAGATGATTCTTTTACTATTGGTGATTTGAGAACTAACACAGATCTGTTCTTATCTTGCTCTGCATTTTCTCTCTGAATTAAGAAAAAACTCAGCTGATTAGAGCTGCCAAATACCTCTAGCCTCTCCTAAAAATTTTTATACAGCAATTCTACGCTTAAATTTGTGACATACCCTTAAAACAAAATTCACAAGCTGTGTAAAACAAATGAAACAACCAAGTTAGCTTAGGTAAAGATAATTTTATGAGTTTGTTTTTAATTTTCACATGTAATTCAATAAAAGTTTCTAAAAATGTAAGTTACGTTGATATAATCTGGTACTGCCATGCCAAAGGCTCCAGTAACTCTAGGAAAAAATTTAGGTTGAATTTGACATGTTATTTCCGTGTCCTTAATCACACCGAGACAATTTTGTTGCATTATATGAACTACAGCAAAGACCAGGCATGCCAAGCAAGTATCAGGCAACTACTCTCCTGGACACTGTACAGATTCAGTACAGGATGGTGGTGCCTGCCCTGAAGTACTCATGAGCCTCTAATACCCCCTTGTACAACCAGTAACTAGACTGGTAAATAAAAGCACTATAATGGGACTTACACCACCAACTTGCGTCTTATCTCCTGGAAAAAAAAAACCACCATCTTCAAAACTGTGAAATGACTTCTACTCTTCAACTTCTACAGTTCACTACTGGCCAGTGATTCAAAAACTATATTAGCAGTACAAGTGTCGTATTTTAAGATTAGAAGTAATTTAAGTAATTGGAAGTTTCCCCTGAAGCGAAGGGGTAATCTCTGACTTCTTACCTGAAATTCATCAAAACACAAGAGAGCAGCCTCTTCGCTTATTTCCTCCGCTACTGGTGCAATTGGATCATATGATTTGGCCATAAATCCTGCCTTTCTTTTTGGCAAGCTCTGCTTAAGGCGGTGTATTCCTGAGTTGATAGAAAAGAACAAATATTTATTTCTTTTTCTAAGTTAGGGAGGAAAAAATTATTTAGCTACCAAATAAAAAGTAACCCAGTCCAGTAAAAATAAGAAAACTTCAAATTTAGTCCAATTTCAAGAGGGCAAAACAGTTTTCAACCACGTCAAGGCAACTATTAAAAGCTCACAGATTCTGTGATTCATATTTTCTTGTTTAGAAATATGTAAAACAAAAATCAAAGAACCCTCGAATGCTATGCACCTATACTTTATCTTTGAAAAACTGATATAAATTACAGTTTTTATCTTGCTCCAATTCATGACCTTAGTTTCAGTTTCGCTTTATAATTTGGCATTTTCTGTCTTAATCTTCTCTCTGAGTATGAAAAACTCTTACGGTGTTTACAAATCAATGGCACAGCTCTGTGCCTTGCATGCTCTGAAGGTATACTTAGAACGCATTTAGTTAAAAGAACTCGGACATAGCAACACAGTTATATTTTAAAATGTAAACATGATGATACTGGTACAAAGTAAGATTATTACATCCATACTTTACTGTCTCACAGATTGTATTCCATCTGACTACAAACAACAAACATTCAGAAAACAAAGATCCTGCAGTAAGAAGTTACCTTTGTAAAGGTTAAGCAAAAATGACAAGAAATGGAAACAGAAAATCTCAACAGTGACCCAATGATGATAGAGGGCACTAAGAGTGGCAGAAGTTGTTTACACTGATGAAAGCTTCCCAAGAAAAATGCATCTGTCACAATACTTGTAAATTACAGCATTATTTAACAATTTCACAGTATTTTAAGGTTATAGAATTTAGAAACAGAAGCAAATTTTAAAATACCTAAAACAGTATTTCCGTCAAAACAAAGTGCCTTATTCACACTGTCAGAAAATTTTCTGAAACTTAGGATGAACTTCCTTCTATTATTTTTTCCTCTAAATTACTGATAATATTACTAAGTTTGCCAACCAGAACAGTTCTCATTCTCCTTGGTGTTTATACCCGATTTATTTATTGCTTACTCAAAATGCAGATTGAATTTAACCTCTACTGTTTCAGTTTTAGCAACTGCCTTCTTCAGATTGCATGTAAGCTAACTGGTAACTGGAGAACCAGTTTAGTTACTAAACTGGTAACTAAACTGGTAAGCAGTTTAGTTAAGGATTTAATCCTAAATATACACCCAAGTTTTCTATACAATCAGGTATACAGAACCTTTGAGAAAAGATACTTGAGAAATAATATGCAATTAATATCTACTCTGGTATGACAGACGATGCTAAAATCCTTTAACTTCTCTCCTTTTTATTTTTGCTTAAATACTTAAATAAAGTTACACTGATTAATATGAATATGAGAATGAAACAGACTTTTTAATAGATATCATATTTCATAAAATTCTTGTAAATAGCTGTGTCTGCACTTACTCTGGTGTACATCTAGCATGAAGCCATGAAAATGGACTCTCTTTTTCCTTTTTACTTCTAAGTGAGAATAGAACATGTCCATCACCATTGTCTTTCCTGTACCTTCAAGTAAAAAAAAAAAAAAACAAAAGCAAAAAAAACCACCCAATAGGTAGTTAATTTAAGAACAGTATGTACTGATTACAATAATGACTGTTCATTAGCTTTGAACTAATGAAACTATACTCTTCCACAGAATAAGTACAAGACCAGACTGTTTGTAAAGAACAGTTATATTTTCTGTTCAAAAATTTGGAACAACTGCATTTTTGCTTTAAAATTTTTATCAAATTTTAAAATTTTGATCCATACAGAGATGGCCCAAAGGTTGCACAAATGGCTCCATATGCATCCAGAAGACATCCTTAGTATTTCCTTTTGAAAAGCAAGTATGCTTTCATGCTGCATTGCTGCAATTAGAATATATAAATTCTCTCCATGGCCCCCTCAATTACTTCCCAAATTCTGAAATTGTATTCTTAAATATTAGTGAGTGGGTAACGCTGGAAAAAAACTACACATGGTAATGTAGTCCAGTCCAACAGCTTCCAGAATTCAGAGTGTAATTGTATTAAGTAACATCATAATGTGGAATAAAACGAATCCTGGAAAATTCATTAAAGCAATAATGCTACGTAAACATAAAGCTTTTAGACACTTCAGAATTTTAATAAACATGCATTTAGAGAAAAGTCCATTGAAATTGATGCAACTGAAACTTACCAACATCTCCATAGACATAAAGACCTTTTGGAGGTTTGTTTTTTGCAAAGACCTGCAAATCAAGAGAAAAAGAATAAATACGAATATGGGGTAAAATAAAAGCAAGCACATTGCTGTGGTAAAGTAAGAAAGTAGCTACGCTTAACCACCAAAGTAGATAAGCTAGCAAAGTGTAACCTTGCATAAATCATTAGCTCAGAATTGGTAAGCAATCTTAACGTTCTATTTGTGCAAATTCTATAAAGGAGGCCAAACACATGGAGGGTTTGGGGTTTGGGGTTTTTTTTAGATCATTGTGAAAATATCCCCATCCGCAGTCCTAGCACACATGCCGTTTTACCAGAACATATATAAAATGATTAAATGTTTCCCAATCCATCATCATCATCATCAAAACAAATCCTTTTCCTCATTAAGCCATTTGAACAGTCCTAGGAAAAAGGATATAAAATTAAGCAGTATTGTAGTATTCACAGATATATGCACTATATACCTATTAAAGCAGCTCTGCTTAAGATAAAAACCATTAGGATTTAGAAAATCAGTACTGCAAAGCCAGTGAGCATTGTAGGTCCCCTTTCTCTCCACTTTGAATCTTAAATGCAGAATCATCTCTGGTTTAAACATGATTAAAATCAATGGAGTTCCAGTAAAAATATGTACCTATATACATGTGCGTGTGTGTGTATATGTTTGTGTGTATATATATATATAAAAGGTTATTTTCAAAGTATGCCTCTTATTAATCATTTTCAAGTGAGTTATGTTTATCTTGAATGAATGCTGCTTAAGAATTTTTAATCTCTTAATATTACTCAGGACATATGTTATGACACCTGGTGGTTTATTCTATTTTACTCAAATATATATTTTTATGGGAAAACTTGCAATAAAATCAAGACTTTCAATTTGAAACAATTCCCCCTCCTCCCCCCAGTATTGTGCATAGCCACTTCCAAGTATAATTTTTAAAAGAAGAAGTTTCTAAAAAAGTGGAAATCTTAACAAAATTCTCATCAAATCCATGAAACTGAACTGACATCCACAATAACACTGCAGAAGAGTATTTGGTTATTTTAAAGTGCTCCACTTTCAGAGTTCTATGAGCTGAGCCAAAACAGAGGAAAATTAAAATTGCAACCCTGTGGTCTCATTTGGAGCTGGGTAATTGCTAAACAACTTGAATCTAAAGCACTTTTCAAAATACACTGCCATGTTAAAGAAATGGGGGAGTCAGTAGCAAAACACTAATTAAATATGAAAGAAAATATATGACCAAAAGGCAGACAGATAATGTCTCAGGTCTATAGTACCAGTTTATTCAGAAAATATGCAAGCATAGCTCTTATATAAGACCCACTTACAGATTTAATTTAGAGCTATATTAATAGGATAATCAAAAATTTGTATCATCAATCTGTGGCTAAACAGGGTTTCAGATGTTCTGAAACCATTCCATTAATAGACAAGGCTGCAACTATTTGTAATGCTTTGAAAGCATTGCAAGACAATTTAATTGACGAACATTTTTCAGTGTGTACTTTTTAAGAGCTTGCACTCATTAAAACTACTGATGCTCAAAGTTACACAGTGAAGAAAGGAGGAATGGAGAAAAATCGGAATGAGAGAGACATTCATAGGAATTTCTTTATTTTTAATTTGAGATTAATAGTGATTTTAACAAGACAAAAGACTATCACATTAAATTTATTACATAAAAAGGCTGTATTTATGTGATTTGCAGTTTCACAAGGAATGACACAAAGCTAGAAAAACAAATCAATGTTTAGAGTACTGCTTTACCTGTCTTTGTAAAGGTTATATAACCAGAACAAGTAGTAATGCCTACATTTTTATACTATTTTTTTCATTGTGAAGTGTTTATTAATTACGTTTAACCATCTTGAAGTTCATCTTTTTAGGCATCTTTTATTCTCACTCCAATACTTACCATTTCTAGAAAACATGTTGCAGAAAAGGGGGGTTTTGGCTAAGGGAAACAAATATAATGGCTTGGGCTCCATAAAAGTCTAAATCAACTTCTTGTCCATTTAAAAAGTGGCATTAGTTCTTTGTGAAGACAGCAATTTTTCAGTGATATCTAATTGCTTTGGGAAAAAAAAAAAAAAAGGATGGATATCGTGGCAGATCTGAACACATTTGCTGAAGCTGATCATCTCTAAAAGCAAATCAAATACCAGAAAAACTCTTTTTCTCTTTGAGCAACTGAAGAAATTTGTAGGAAATATTTTACTTCCAAGCAAAATTGTCTTTTGTGTATTTCTGCCAGAAGTTACACTATTGCCACTTTCAGAATACTCACTTCTCACTTCCTCAATCCTGTCAGCTTTTGTATAACACTAAGAATTTATTTGTATTTTTTGGGGGCTTTTTTTTTAATACACATTTTATTAAAAAAAAGTAAACTCAATCAGTAGACTTTTAATACTGAAACTCAGACATCCTACAGGTTTGAAGCTATTTTGCATGATCATAAAATGGATTTTTTTTTTTTAATTATTTTAAATTATTCTTATGTATCTTCTGAAGCCTGGAAGTTGTGTAAGAAAAAGAGCAACTCCCACTAGGATTTCTCATAAAATCCAATCAATGCTGTTGGCTCAATGTAGAGCACAGCAAGCAGTCAGCAAAGACAGCAGAAGACTGATCTTGGTTCTATTGAAACACACACTCCAAAAGAACAAGGAAGGAAGAGATCTAACGCAGAAGATCCTCCAGTTACCCTAAAGTAAGGGTGGTCTTGTTTATTTCAGGGAGGGAAGGAAGAAAAGTGGGAGATGTAGGAAGACAAACTAAATGAATGAGCTTCTCCTTGCCCCTAGCTTCCATATTATCCTGAGGTGTATTTGGGGTCTCGGTATAATGACGTTCAATTGGTTGACAACAAATTTGCATTTGCAACAATGATAAGATCTAACAATGTCAAAGCTAATATTTAAAATGTACAAAATGAAAGATATTAAGGGACACAAAATTTGAGTTTGAAGAGGAGAATTTAGGAATCTTTAAACATATATTTTGAATGCTCACCACATCCCTTCAATTGAGAGCATCACCACAAATGTGTCAAATCCCTGAAGTCCTCCAAGTTTCTTAATTCCCATAACATTCTTTGCAATAACTTAAGAAAGCATAACTTAAGTGCTTCACCAAGTTTCATTATCGTCCAGACATGCTACAACAGGAACCTTTTTTCCTTTTATAGATCAGTTGATTTAAAGACTTTTCTTTGAAAATCATTCATATGCTAAAATATTTACAATTCCATGAGAAGACACACGCATTAGTGTCCCCAGATTTACAGGATTTTCTCCTCTACTATCAAAATGTTTTACACATTTCTGTTTCAAAACTGCATGCCTTGCTTTGATTCTATCATGTCAGATTTTTCTTTTTTGTTTACACTTCACTTTAATCAATCAATATCCTACCTATCTAAGGAATTATATTGGTCAAAACATATCCTTCATTCTGACAACTTCCTATTCTTTCTTAAATATCTTTAATTATGTGCAACGTCTTCCCACCTTCTCTCCTACTCCCTGCCTCAGACACCAGAAGCAAGCAACTAATTTCCTGGAAATATTTACACAGTGTTTTGAGAAACTTTTAGGTGAAAATACATGTCAATACTAAGATGGTTAATTAAAATATGCAAAATTCAAGAGCAAGGTCTCCAAACAGCAGATTTTCTTTTAAACACTAACAAAACTGCCTCTTTCTCCCACTCTTTCAGACCTCCTTTTTGGTTCCTGTTGTAGCTGAAGACATTTTCAAGGTCTTGAATGGTGTTTACTATTGTTCATACCTCTTTTCAAAACATGAAATAAGCTCAATTATAAGTAAGGTCAAGTCATTAGTACAGCAACTCAACAACTCTTAAGATGTCCCAATTGGTATTGTTTTGAAAAGCTAGAGATCTGCAACATCTACGCAAACTCTTACAGCCTTGAACTTCAATTCAGAGGATCTCAAAATATCTCAACATACAAGGCCATGCTTTCACCAAGTTGAAGATCAAAGTAATTGTTTAAATTTGAGTAATGATTTTGAAAAACAGAAGCCTACTTGGTTTGCAGCAAGACTAATTGTTTTTTCCCCTCAAATTCATTCTAAGCTGATGCCCCAAAACACCTACATCGTAAAAAAAATACATAGTTTTATTATCATAAAGGAAATGGCTGGTGTCATGTGTCCCCCAACTACTGATTTCAGAAAGCTTTGGCTTGTGAGGTAATGCAAGTGTCTCGGATAAACACTGAAATGCTTCTATTGTATCTGATATAAATATCTGTTCCCTAATCCTACTTGTACCATATTTTTAGTGTATAAAACTATTTAGATAAAAAGGGACAAATTAAGAACAAAACTAAAAACAAAGACGACCATTGTTGTAATGGTTCGGGAATGCAAGAAGTCTCTATTTCTGGAATAACTGTTATTTTGGAAGAGGCTTCTGCAATTCTATCACAGAAGAAATCAGGCAATAAAATAAGAAATCTCAGACTACAGAAGAGGCTGACAGAGAGAGGCTTCTCTCTCTCTCTCCCCCTCTGCCCGCCCTTTTCTTCACTGCAACCTCTCAACCACATTCTCTTCAATGACAGAGCCAGGGAAAATGAGCATGCTTGAAATGCCGTGCACCACTATTTTTTATTTCTAAAAAGCTGCCAGTAGATTCTTTTCAACACAGGAGATTTCATACTAAAAGTAGGTTAGTCAAGTTGCTAGAAACCTCCTGAAAAAGCAAAAAGTCAATCTACAAACTACTAGGTGTAACTGATTAAAGTGTTTGACTTATTTCCAAAAAGTCCTTAAGTAATTTAAAATACATCAATTTGTTTCATTTACATCTGTTAAAACCCATTAAGTACAAAATGTTAAACAAAACCAATGCCAATCATTTTATCATAAAAACAACTGTTAACGCCTACAGTATAAGGTTTATCTTTTACTTCATAGCATAATCAAAGTTACAAAGTACCAGAAGAGTACCAATGAGCTATTCAGGAATACAGGGTTTACCTGTGC